CCCTCTTGGATTGTGTCATACATATATGAGACCCACATAATCTTGACCCAACTTTTGTCCTTCCTGATTTGATCCTGCTCAGAAATCAGGCTCCAAGTTATTGATAGCGTTAGCCACTTCTTTTCGCGCAAGCTCCAAGTCACCTTTTTGCTGATCACATTCACATCTCAGTTCATCTCTTTATTCCTTAGCATTCTGCTCAGCTAGCTCCAAAAGTCACATCCATTAAAGAGAACGCTTGAATCGACAGCTAGAACTAAAAAGATGCATAACTTTTCAAAAAAGTAACTGAGAATTAAGGCACACGTAGAAGTGTTACAAGTGCTCGACCAAAATAGATTAAGAGGGGTCAATTTAAAAGAGAACATTGAAAAGAGAACAAGAAAATGGAATGAACAAGCATGTTAAAGATTTCAACCGAACATAAATGATTCAGTATATTTTGGGGGAGACTTTGATAGGAACAATTAATAAAATAGACCGAGCAATCAATAAAATGGATCGAGCCTTACTCAAGACAGTTCAAATAGAGGTAACGCTCAGCCAAAGAGTCATTTAACCATGTAATTAATGCTCAAGATTCTCGCTTGACATTTATGACCGATATTTTTGCTCGGCATTTATTCTTTTGGTTAGAATAGGAAAGGTACTATAAATATTTGTATCTCATCCCATTAGAGGACATCATATCCAATAGCAATTTCTGAATATTTATCTCTTTTACTTCTATCAATGAGTAAGATTCTATATAAAACTTTATTTTCGACTTGTAAATACTTGAATGCATTTCGAATTGGATAATAGGAATATTTAATTATATAAACACCATCTATAATAAAGAATGTTAACTTATTATACTTAACAAAATTAAATTCACCACTTTGTATTTCGTTCAATTTAAAGACAATAATATTAATAATTATATGAAAGACAAATAATGAAGAATTTATTTCGCAAAATGTAATTACTTAATTCACACTGTCTTATGCGTTAAATTTTAGACATTAAATTTAAATTTACAATAGGAAGAAAAAAACACCTCCCTAATTTTCCTTCCGTTACACAACCACCTCGCTCCGTCCAAAATCGGTTTTACTTCTTTGAAATGGCAAATGAAATGACCATACTAACTCTTGATAATTGACAATTAATGATTTCTTGCCTCACTTAAATGCAAAAGGACTAGATCTCACATATATGTTGACAACTTGACCGAGACACAGGCAAATCAAAGTCAAGGACGATCATCGACTTCACACCAAAAAATAAATTAGACAGTCAGCTCTTTCGTCCCTCATCTTCCTGGTTTTATTTTTCTCTATCAAAACTTCATACACCTAAAAAAAAATTAGAAAAAAAATGCAAAGAAAATTTAGTAGTTTACATGCATGCAACTATCTTTATTAGCAGAATAGAAGACTAGAGCTTCATGGTCCTGTAAAAATCTCAAATTAATAGTCTGAATACAAAATTTATAATAAGTACAGTGTTGATTATAATGGAAAAGAAAAACATATTTAATAAAGCAAAAGCAGAAGTACTTGTGCTGCTACTAACTTTTTTAGGCTAAACACATAATTTGGCCTTGAACTTTTGACAATTTGCCAATTTAACCCTTTTTTAAGAATTTTACCTATTGCACCCTGAAACTACGGTCGTGCATCACACGGAACCCTTTGTGTCAAACTTTAACAGCCGAACTAATCCTCCTTGTCCAAAATCTTTCCACGTAAGGAAAAAACAACAACTCATAACAAAATAGCAATACTTATTTGTCCCATGCCATGCCAAGCACATTTGTGGAGAAGCACACACTTAGAGGCTCGAAGAGGAGAGAGGTGCGCATGAAGAACATAGAGGCAACAAATGGAATTGCAGCGCGAAACGGAATCATTTTAACATTGAATAGGGCACATAAATAGGTCATGAAACAGTGACGTTTTGATGGTTAACGAACACTTGATGCCTCACTCTCTCGTTTTGTCAAGTAATTGCTTGCACTGTCGAAGTGGCGATGTGGGTATGTGGCAGAGGATATATGGTTAGGGTTAGGAGTTATAAGAGTAGAAATTGTCTTGTATTTTTTTTATCTCTCATTTGACCTCAATTTATTAGGTAGACTGATAGAAAATTAGGGTGAGTTTGAACAAAATGAGGTAGGTAAGTGAAGGAATGAAATTTAGAGAGACATATGTATTAGTTTTGAAATATAAAAGGAGATATGTTAATTTCATTATAATTTAAGGAGATGTTTTTTTTTTTTTTTTTTCCTTTACAATATTATTGAGAATAAAAATTTAATTTCTTGGTGTTTATTATATGTGCAAAGAGATAATTGTTAGATTATCATGTTCATCACATATTTCCTTTAACTGAATATCTTTAATTAAATGTTTTTAAAATTTTTTATACTATATGATTAAGAAATTAAAAGTCTATATATAATTATCGAGGTATTTCACATTGAAGGGAAAAAGTTCTTAATCAAAAATTATAATTCAACTAATTCTACCCTTATTCTCAATCATGATAAAAATCTTTACTTAGTTATAAATGAAGTACTTACAATTTTACACACCTATGCTCAAGGCTCATGTTGTTTTACCACTTTTTATCCCCAAGTAATTCCTCACCAGCTCTTCGTCATTTTGCCAACATTTGGTATGAAAAAATTTTCTTCACCATCTCTTTACATCATTATGAATTTTCTTGATGAATTTTTAATCCTATATATTTTGACTTTTTAGTTTCCATCTAACAAAAAAAAAAAAAAAAAAAAAAAAAAAAAAAAAAAAATGAATTTTTTAATCCTATATATTTGACTTTTCTAGTTCCATCTAACAAAATAAAAAAAAAAAAAAAAAAAAAAAAAAAAAAAAAAAAACAAAAAAAAAAAAAAAAAAAAAAAAAAAAAAAAAAAAAACATGAAAGCAAGTGCAGAATTAAAAATAAAAAAAAATAAAAAAAAAATAAAAGAAAGGAAGGAGGAGGAAGACCGTTACTCACCTGAGACTAAAAATCAACAATCGTGGTAAAAGAAAATTTGAAAGGTTGTAAAACAGCGAAAGTAGATGAATTTAGGGTATACTTGATTCAGTGGATTCATGCAGTTGATAGTTATTCAATCCCAATAGTTATATCATAGGTGTTTAGTAAGCTTTTTAGACATGAGCAGATAGCTGATAAAAATCTCTATCAATTTATTCCATCATCTACGTTGTAGAGTTTTTTCGTATTTATAATATTTGGAATTTATTAACCTTACAAAAATAATTTTTAATAAAATAAATTTTCAAATTAATGTTTTTGTGATAATTTTATTTATAATGGTCGAAAATAAAATCTTTTCTTAAATATAAATATTATTTGAAAATGTTAATTAATATTTATATATATTATATATAAACAATTATATTCATTTTGTAATTAACTGTAATTCCTACCAAAATTTTAATAAACACAAACTATAATTAGTTAGCTAACCACCGTCGACGATCAGTCACTTTTACTTTTAGCTGGTATTAAATGTGAAGATTTTCTGTAGCATAATGTGCAAAGATATTAGTTTAGCCCATAATTATTTGCTGGGCTTTAGAAAATCAAGGCCCATAAGTCATTATAAGGGAATGATTTCATTACACGTGAATAGTTCATTTGCCTTCTCTCATATGTTTAATAACGAGGCCCATTCGTACTAACTCATTTTATTCACATTTAATACTACTCCAATTCCATAATATTTATCACATTTTAAGAAAATAGTTTATTTTAAAAAATTTATCACATATGTGGCTCTAAAGAATAATAAATCTTTTTTTTTTCATGTTTACCTTTTATATATGACCAATAATGATTACTTTAATTTAATAATTTTCTTAGAAAATTAGTATTAAATTAAGGATAATATAGTCAATTTACTTAATAAGTAAATTATTTATTATAACTTAGATAAATTTAATGGTTTTTAATATAGTTCCAATGTACTTAATTATTAAATTAAGGATAATATAGTCAATTTACTTAATAAGTAAATTATTTATTATAACTTAGATAAATTTAATGGTTTTCTTAAGAGATGTTAAATTCCAAATGTGATAAGTATTAGAAAACAGAGATAATAGTTATAAACCATTTTTTTTTAGTATTATTTCATTTACGGATACTTTGTCTCAATTAAATTAGCAATAATTAAAGGATAAATTAGTCTTACCTGTATTTTTTAAAATTAAGATAATTCAATATTTTTTTAATCTTATGAAAAGTAATAAAAATTATCACATTTAATATAATGAAGAACTATTAGATATATATAACTGAGTACAACTAAGATATTGCTAATCACGTATCTAACCTTGTGTGATTCTAGTACTCAAATATAAACTGTTTAAAAAACGTGTAAGCAAAACATTTTTAATCTCACTTTTCACTGCAATAATTTTTTTAGTAATAAATATAGAAAGGACATGCTTAATAATATCAACATTTTAATTCTAAATCGATAAATTACTTAATTTAATGACATAATCAAGAATTAAAATATGAATAATAATGTAAGATTAAAAATTATAAATTCCTACTTGCAACTAGGGAGGTACCAGGTGAGTACCCACTTAAAATGCACCATCCGAAATTCAAACCCTAACCTGAAGATAAATTAAATATGCGAACCTGTTTACAAATTCATATTTAGCAAGCTTAAGGTGGCCATTGACATTCCAAAATATTTATTTAGAATAAATTTTTATGAAAAATTATATTTTGTTCCTTTAAAATATAGAAAATTTATATTTAGTCGTACAAGTTTTAAAAAAAATTTTTTCAGCCCTCTCAAAATAATTGTCCTGACTTTGCCCCTGTCCGAACCTATCTCGTACTCGATTATAATCACCCGTTTAATAATATTTTTTATTTTTATTTTAAAAATAAAAAAGTAAATATTATAAAATTATTATTGACTTTATAAAAATATTTTTTAAAATACTTATTTAAATAAAAAAAAAAAAAAAAAAAAAATGAGACTGAGATAGGAGCATATAATCATTACAAAGTTATACAAACAGCAGCAACTTTTTTATAGACGAAATGTCGTTTCGGCCTTGGCCCTGCCACACAGAAGTGCATTCTTTGGAATATTGTACTCATCTCTAATAGACCTCACTGGAGAATAAACCCGCAGATAAAACTGTTGGCCCAAGTATTGCCTGGCCCAAAATTCACTCCTCACATTCCACATTCCCACGTTATCAAGCGCCACATATATAGCAGTCCATGACTTTGGGTACACCTGCACACACAGGATTGCTAATTAGCATTGGCTACCAATTTAAGTGCTTGCATACTCAACAAAAATCAATAACAAAATTGAAATATCTCACCTGTGTGGTGCAACGCGAAACTGCATCTCTAAGATTGTATTCATTACGACTAGCTGATGTCCATACTCCTCCATTCATTCTGCAAATATGCAAATTAGTCAGTGAAAAAAGCGATCCCGTGCACGAAGCATTCTACGTGTGTGGGCGCTCGGGAGAGTTAAATGTAATATGATACGTGAAAACAACACTTACCCAACAACCCAAAAGTTGTATCCATCGATGTGCCATGTTTGGACAATGTTCTCATGGTTTTGAAACACAATCTCGACAAAGTCCCTGAAACCAGCGCCCATGACGGAAGTGTCAAGATACATCTTCTTGTGTGTTGGATAATCAGGAATGCTTCCAACTCGAAAAACGCCACTAATGTTGAAGTAATCAGCAATCTTTAAAGGAGTGTCAGCAGGAACAAATGATACACTGTTAACTGCGTATCTCTGCTTCCTATTAACTTGACCTGCTGAGCTCTCTAGCTTGATTGTTCTACTAATGTTTATTAGTCCATAGTGGTATGATCCTTGAGGATTTGGTCTTGGTCCACTTGCTGTAAGGTTTGTCCTGGTAATCAATAGTTTGATATCAATTTTTGATAAAAGATTATTAGTTAGGATATAAATTTGCATCTTCTAATTCAAAATTTATAAGACCCACAAAACTTATAAAATCACGTACCTAATGGAGCGAGCCTGATTAAGTGACCAGTTGATCTGAGTGGTCGGTCCACCGGGGATTGGACCGGAGACTTGCTTGTTAGAGTTACTATAGTGAAGAATGGCAGTGGTGGTAAGGACCTTGGAGGTGAACCGAGTTGAAACTGCAATGTAATAGTTCTGAGGAGGCTGATCAGCTGTGACTAAGACTGAATAAGATTGACCAACATGGACATCCAATGATGAATAGGTTGTCTGGACTGTGTGGGTTCCTTCAACTTCGACCAGCTTCATTGTGTGGCCCTGGATTCGAAAATTGAGCGAATTCTGGAGTCCCACATTTGATATTCTCAGCCTGTAAGTTTTTCCTGCAATAGGTTTACTAATCATCTCAGCCTGTTTACTACTTACTACATAGACTTAAAGAGTTTAATGACTCTTAAATCAAGTATTTAAGAGTTTTAATTCGCAGAACCCATTTCAAAAATTACCTTGTTCAAATGTGAAATATGTAGCATTGGGTCCACGACCGTTGATCAAAATACCATCTGGAAAAGGGAGCCTATGCCCACGATCTAAAATTGCCTTCAATTTCTGAAATCACAAATAGGGCAAAACATTGTTAATATTTTGAATTATAATTATATAACAATGTCAATTTAGAGCTGGATGCTGTTAATTTAATTACCGTGTGGTTAGTCTTAAACCAATCTCCAATAAGAACAGTGAAATCATCGGCTGGTTCAGGAAATGGAACCGGAATCAATGGCCTACTAAGAATCCGGATGCCCCCGAAGCCACCAGCTGCCTTGTGGAAGGCAAGAGATGGGAAATAGAAGAAGCTGCCAATTTGATCCTTCACTTGTAATGTGTAAGTGAAATTCTTGCCTGGTGGTATTGGACAAGTTGTTCCATATACTCCATCTTGATATGAATTTCTCCTTTGTTGAACCCCATTCCTGGAATGCCATATTATTGATCAGTATCATTTCAACTCATAAGATCTCAACCGATCAATGACCAATAAGTTCTACTGACAAACTAGTTGGACTCGGTTGAATTTTTCAGTTCTATTCCGTTTTATGCACAGTTAAATCCGCACTAATGTCACAATTACAAAAATTGAAAAAAAAAAATTAGGAAAGAAGGAAGAGGAAAAGTAAAACAAGGAACAAGAAAGAGAGGACTTGACTCGTGACCAATAAGCCAACCAAATAATCACATTTCACTTTACAGTTGTTCTTGTTCATTAATCTGAAAATCAATACTCAAAAAACAACTAAAAGCTTAAAGGCAATAAATAATAGAGTGAACGTCACAATTCACATCTACAACAAGAATTAATGTTGGTCATAATTCTACTATTCTAAGATCAAATCCACCATTATTACGTGATCATAAAAAGTCAGCATTTCTTCCTTTTACCCTTTACTTAATTATTTAATTATATAGATAATATTTATTTTTCAATCCAATTGATTTTTTTAATTAGATTCACACTGAAGTTAAATTGACATTTTTAAAGGTTAATGAATTCAAATATTGAACCTTTATTAATTTTTATTTACATTATTAAAAAAATTCATAAATGAACAATGTTGAAATATTAACCACATTTCATATTCCATATTTTAATATTCTAAAATCAAATTCTATACTTAAATTTAATATAATATCTATACCAATTGTGAAAAAGTTTGTATCTACGAGTTCTATAGCTTAGTATGTCTTTACAAAATTGCTCATCTATAATCCAAGTGCGGCATCATATTTTCCAAGTTAATTATTTTTTTTTTCAGAAAAGGAAAAAGAAAAAAAAACAACCTACATTGCCATTTTTGCATGTAATGCCATTTTTACATTCTTGCATGTAACTAACTAAGAGCTATAAAATGTATGTGCAGTTGAGGTTTGCAGCCCTAAAAGGTAATGTAAATGATACGTGATGACCATTTTATGCGATGGAATTTGCTTTTCAAAAATCTAAAAAAGATAGGCAGTGTATATTGTTAAGCTTTTTTTTTTTTTTTTTTTGTGTTCATGCAAAATTTATAAAGGTAAAAGGGATTTAAGGCAAATCATTATAACATGCTATACACACAGACCTTAAAGAAAACTAGAGTATGATTTATATGAAATAAACATTGTAATTCTCACCATGAAATGAGAAAAGGCTCTGGCAAGCTATTATGTACATTGATGATAAGATTGTTGTTGGTGACAGAATATATATCAGGTCCTGGAAATTGTCCATTGATAAGAATTCCCTGTAAAAACATATACATATATATGAATATCATTTTCAGATCAATCTTGAAATGTAAAATTTATGTGAACGACAACCAGTTACTATCACATACCTGCTGTTTTACACCAAGTGGATAAATATCGCCATACGTAACATTCCAGTCGAAGAATCTGTAAGGATCTTCAGCTCCAACAACAGTAAGAAAAGTGCAAAGAACACCATAGATAACCCAGCTTGTAGCTTCCATTGTTACAAGAAAATGAAATATGGAGAATTAGTGAAAAATGAATGAATAAATAAAAGAATTGAAGAGAGGTATTTTCACAAGTCAGTCTAAAACAAACACTTATATATTGATTGATTGAAGTGTTGGTAATTGATACAGGTAGCTATTTAAAGTATAAACATAAAGGAGGGAATCTAAAAAAAAATGAGAAATAATAAATTAAAAAAGAAAAAATCCAAATAAAAAAGAAAAATTAAATTAAAATAAAAAATGGAAAGAAAATTGTTGTCACCGTGTCGGTTGGGTTTCTACGTGGAATATGTTGGAAAACGGTGGGGGCTCCACTTTCTTTTTTTTTTTTTTTTAAATAATTCATGTTCTTCTACATAAAGAACTACTAATGGTATAATCGTAACCAGTAAAGTTATAACACGTTTAAGAGCAACTGTTGTAGTGGTTATGATGGTCTTGTTATGGTGTGGGTTAGGAGTAGGTGATAAAACCTGAACAACCGCGTGGTGTTTTTTTGATTTCACATTCATGTGCTGGAAGATAGCGGATGGTCCGTGATTACTGACGGGACACACGGAAAATCCATGTGGGTAATTGCTGATGAACCAAACACGAAATGACTTTCTGGAATCGACGGATGTTATAAGTTTCCTTCAGTGGACCCACAAGCAATCAACGGAGGGTTGATGGAAATTGCGTATGAAAGATGCTAATAAATGGGAATGGGATTGTGAAATTAGTGTGTTTTTGGAAAATAAAATAAAAATAGAATTGAAGTCTGTGACATTCCATTTTGCTGGTGACAGCAATGATAAAAGCAAGTAGGAAACAGGGACAGATAGTGATTGGAAGAAAGAGAGCTTCAGAGAGCTGCAATTTGACTGGATTGCAAGTTGGAAATTTTTTTTGTAAAAAAATATTTTTAATTTTTGTATTTACTCAATTTTATAGTAATTATAAATATAGTTTTGCTTAAATTGAATTAATTGAAACTAAATTAATTAAACAAAAATCAAATTGTAACCAAATATTTTAAAACAATTATTAAAATAGTTAATAGTGTCTGATAGACCTTAATTTTAATTTAATCCTTTTTTTAAATGGAAAATAAAAAATTTGAGACAGCGTAATACCTAGGAGCAAACACATTGGAGATGACATTCACATTTTATAAGACGAAACGTGCTTCTTTTTATTTAAGTTTTAATCTTTAATGAGGGCATGGATAATATGTATATATTATAAGAATAGTAAGTACATTAAACATTTCCAGTTGTATTTATTTATTTATTTTTGGATGCCTTGAAAGTCAATTCTGTCACACGCATTCATGGCTGCTAAATATTTTAATAATTTCCTTCAAGTTTGGTTCAACGTGTAATGATGTGTATACGATGTAGTAAATGGAATAGTATCAGAAAAAAAAAGGGAAAATTTTATTTGTCAAATATTATTAGCATCATTTTATTTGATAAAAGTAAATTAATTTGACCGTTTTTTTTTTTTTTTTTGTTTTTGCATACATTATATTTGTATCCATAGTAACAAATCAAAATAAATTATATTGTGCTTATTCTAAAAAATGATAGCCCGAGTGCCTCCCATTGCTTTGTGTAATATCTTGTATAAAATTTTAACCCAAGCTTTAGCAAATAGGTTTTGCCTAATATTATTTTTGATAAGCAGTCTTCATTTGTTTTAGCCGCCTTATTTTTGATAATTTTCTTATTGCCTCTGAAATTATGCATAATATGTGTAGAAGAATTAGGATGGGTATGGGTTCCTATGCTCTTGAAATTGTTATTAGTAAAGTTTATGATCGGGTAATTAGGATTATTTGAGGGATATGCTTTTTCATATGGGTTTTACAGAACAACAGATTAATTGGATGTATATGTGTTTGTTGGCTCAAGGGCTTTTACAACCTCTTATTTTGATGATTAACAAAAATAATAAATTGAAATAATTTATTATATTGTGTTCTCTAAATTTTCTTTGTAGGAAATTTAATCAAGAATTCTCATAAAGTTGAAGATCATAGTCTATCCTATTGAAGATCAATGTATAAGGACTACTTGGAGACTTGAAGACCATATGTTTAGTAAGTTAGTTAGTTGAGTCTAATTCATTTTGTTAAAATAGAAAGATCAATTATGTCTATTCTAGCTAAAATCAAAATCAACTTTCTAGCTTTTTGATTTGTCATACTTAAAGAATATCTTTATATTAAAATAATATTTTTTAAAATATTCAGAGGGAAAAAGGTATTTCAAATTACACTTTTCAAATTAAAAATATATATTCTTTTTGATAAAAAGATTTTGGGGGCAAATAAGATCTTAAAACCACATTAGGCTTTTAAATTTGAAAAACCCACTTCCTAATATAGTACCATAGCCCAAACCTTTCTCTCTTTCTTGCTGAAAATCTACCCCCCATCTTTTTTCTCCCTTCTTCTTCTTTGTAAGGTTAACTCTGCAGTTTCAATGGGAAGAAAAATTTGTTTTGCATATAAAAGGTTGGCAAAAATCTTGAACAAGCATGAGAGAAAATTTGAGTTTATTGTTTTATTTTTAAAAACTCTCATCATAAGCCTTCATCTCTTTCTTCTTCTTCATGCTTGAAATGCATTATCTCTAAGAAAAGAGGATGAACTATATTTTGAGAGAGATATTCAAAACTGAATTCAAAAATATTTTTAAATCTCTTTCCTAAGCTTAAATGAGCGTAACTCTCTTTCTAATATAGGTTCTTGTTAATTTAGAATAAAGTAGAGGAAAACTAAATCAAAATCTTGTGAGAATAAAGCTTTTATTGTTTGGATAATCAAGCACCTCTCTTGAGTAAGAGCAATTCTTGTAAGTTTTCTAGTTCTTATTAAAAACTAGTGGGTTAAATTTTTATCTAGTTCTTTGATAAAAACTAGAAAGAACAAGTTTGTAAATTCTTTGAAAAACTTTGGGGAATGGTTAGGTCTAGGAGTTGAACTATTTCCATTGTACTTGGTTTGCTCTTGCCTTTGAAAAGAGTATGATAGTTAAGATCTCAAGATGATTTCTTAAGGAGTGGATGTAGGCATGAGAAACACTGAACCACTATAAAATTGATTGTGTTGTTTTCTCCTCTTTCATCTCTTAGTAGTTATAGTTGAATATACTCACACAATCACTTGATTATCCATTATGCTTGATGAATCAATTATGTTATATGTGCTGCATTATGATTATTTGATTTCTGAGGTTGTTGTGGTCAGTTACTGACTTACACAAACTCTGTTGACTAGTTTTAGTGAGCTATATTCAGTGATAGGTTTAACTTTATATTTTTTTGATGTCTATAATAAATCAGATTGAGTATTTAATTGATTTATCAATGTTTACTATCTGATTTGAGTTGTTATGTCATGTTGCTTCTGCTATGGTTGAAAAATTCTTGAAAATGTTTAATTTTTGATCTACCAATGCACCCTTGGATTTTGCCTATGGGGATGTATAATGTGTTTCTAGTTTTCAGTATATGGTTAATTTCAAAGGGAGTCAGATTGGTCCAATTATTATTGAAAGCGGTTTGAGTTAAGGAGATCCTCTATCTCCTTATCTTTTCATAGTTTGTGCTAAAGGTCTTTCATTAGTTTTTTCTAAGTCTGAAAGGAGGGATTGTATTCATGGTTATAAGATAGGGGTGAAATTTCCTCGGGTCTTTCATTTATTGTTCACTGATGATTCCTTGTTTTCTTTAATGCTAGCATTTTAGAGGCTAATAAAATTCGTAGTATTTTTTCTAAGTATGATATAGCTTATGGGCAGTCTGTTAATTATCAAAAATCGGGTATCATGTTTACACTTAATGTTCCCGATGCTCTTTGTAATGATGTTTCTAATATTCTCGAGGTAACTAATCCTCTTTGTGGTAGGAACTACCTTGTTTTGGCTTCTTTTACTGGTTGTAATAAAATTTTTTTATTTTCTTAAAGATAATCTTTGGAGGAGATTGAACAGTTGGGGTGACAAATTTTTATCTAGAGTGGGTAGAGAGGTTCTGATTAAATCTATTACCTAAGTCATCCTTACTTATTGTATGAGCGTCTTCTTGAACCCTACCATGGTGTGCAATGAGCTTCAAGTTATGGAATGGTAAAAAAGAGGGGAGTCGTGGTATTAATTGGCTATCATGGGATAAGATGAAGGGTCCAAAGAAGGAAGGGAGGGATGAGTTTTAGGGATCTTTATTTTACTTTAATGTTGTTATGCTTGGGAAGAAAGTGGAGGTTATTAACCAAAACTAACTCTCTCTTTTATAAAATTTTCAAAGCTAAATATTTTCATAAAGGGGGCTTTAATTTTAAACACGTCTTTAGGACGTAATCCAAGTTTTGTTTGGAAGAGTATCTTATGTTCAAACAATATCTTAAATCATGGGTTTTAATGACATGTAGGTGATGGCAAAAAATTTTTTATTAATAAAGACCCTTGGATTCTTAAAAATGATTTTTTCGAGGGCATGATGGAGGTGTGTTTATTGATGATACCATGAGAGTTTGTGACCTTTTTGTGAGTGGAGAAAAGAGATGGGATGTGAGTAAGGTTATGAAGTTCTTTAGTATGGATGATATCCGTGTTATTCTTAACATTCCCTTGAGCTTTTCTAGTGCTAAAGACACTTTCATATGACATTTTGAAAATAGGGGTTGTTATAGTGTTAAATCAGGTTACAGGGTGGCTTTTAGTGTGTTGGGTAGAGCGCCTCCTAGGTACAATGGTGGAATATGGGGTAGAATATGGAAGCTTGATGTGCCTCCAAAAATTTGAGATTTTATGTGGAGAGCAATAAGGGGTATATTACCTACAAAGGAAAACTTGTTAAAAAGAGGCATAGAAGCTACTGGTGAGCATGTGTTTTGTAATATGGAGGAGGATGTGGATCAGGTTTTGGTGCATTGTTTTAAGTTCTATGGGAGTATGGAGTTGAAGTGGTTTTGGTGCACCAACCCCTAATATTTCTTTTTAGAATATTTGTTACAAGTTTATAATACTCATGGTAAAGAAAGAGTTGAATTTTTTGCCCTTTATGCATGGAAAATTTGGAACTCTAGAAATTTTTTCTATTGGTCCTAGACTTGGCTTTCTACTCCATCAAATTCACGTTGCACGCTTCTCTTTATATGCATGAATGGCGTTTCTCTATGCATGCACGTCTTCTGCTGTCCAACCGTAAGTCACGGGCCACCCTTAGGGCTACTGCTCGACATTTAGTTAACAATTACAATTGGAAAGTTTTGTTGATGATTTCAAGCTACTGATTTCATTGGTTTTGGCACCCTATTTTAGGATGATAAGGGGCTTTTCTTACGAGTTTTATCTGGTTATCAAGAAGGTGGTAGTGAACCATAATATCTGAGGATATAGCTCTTTCGACACTCTCTCTTTTGCCTAGGACAACATGTCTACAAACAGTTGAATTCTTTCGGATTGTCAAGTTTTAGTTCAAGCTATAAATTCTAACCATCTTGATATTTATGATTTTGGTTCTATTGTATTGGATTGTAAGACTATTTTAGCTCATAGGATTGATATTAAAATCAAATGGAATAGGAGGCAAGCAAATTTAGATGCTCACTCAGCTTGCTAGAGCATCTATAAACCATGCTCATTTCTATATTTGGGAGTCCATCCTTAGTTGTGTGTTGGACTTTTATGATTTCAGGTATGCATTTTTAGTGTTCCTTTTCAAAAAAAAAATCATTTGATTAAAATGGTTTAATTTAATGATACCTTTTTTAAAAGTTGAAAGTTATCTAAATCAAAATAAATAAATAAAATTCAGATTAATTTCACTGGTGGTATCTGAACTTTGTGAGTACGCACTTAAGTGTGTATATATTTTAATTTTAAACTTAAAAATACTCGAATGAGTATGCACTTAAGTGTGTATATATTTCAATTTTAAACTTAAAAATACTCAAATTTCAATTGGTTAATGGTAAAAAGGGGCCTTTACTAGTTTTAATTGAATTTCAATCACCGAAGTACCATATGGCATAATACGTCGAATTTTCTAATTGACTTAGATTTTTTTTAATTAAAAAAATTTCTCTCTCCTCCAGGTCATTTTTTTATTTCAATTAACTAACACAATAAAAAGAGTTTTTCTCCTTTTCTTTTTGATCTATAGCATATATCTTCTTCTTTTAAATCTGTAATATAAACTGTATTTCTCTTAAAAATGTCTCATGCCCACTAAAAGTTCCATATTCCCTTAACAACATCTCCTTCGATTATAAAGTAGCCACTACTTTAATTGAGAACCCACAAAGTTAGTGCAGAATTTGATTTTGGACAAAAAGGATCCCAACTAGCGTGAGTACAGCCGGATCTCTATAGTAGAGTTACAGTCTTCGGTGATGCTTCATAAAGAAGACCGCAAGTCCATGACTTTAACATCGATCAGTTGTCATTAGTGGATCTTATAGAAGCAGATAACAAAGACGAAGAGGATGTCGTTAGCATGGTACAGGTGGCTCTTTGAGGACGTTGCCAGTGTGAGTGCAACCGATTCAATCCCAGATCTCGCTAATGGACTATTGGTTAGAGATGGACATGGAGAATTTTTTAAGGACTGATAGTTGGTGTTGGATTGGATAGAAAAAGAGAGGGGTTTCCATTGATGAGTCTGGTTCAAGAAGAAGAAGAGATGAACTTGATGAGATTTGCTTGAGAAACTGATTTGTTGAAATAAAGCTTCTGCTGAGTTAGATTATTTTCTTGACTAAATTTTTTTTTAATTGTGTTAATTTAATTGAAATAAAAAATGATTTCGAGGAGAGAGAAAAGTTTTTTTTAATTAGTTAAAATCTGGGTCAATTAAAAAAATTCCATATATTATGTCATGTGGCATTCTAGTGATCGGAATTAATTAAAAAGGGTAAAGGCTTATAATAATAATAATAATAATAAATGATAAAGATTTTGGAACTTTTTTTTTCTATGTATTTTAATGCTTCACAATTTGATTGGATTTATATTTTGAAAAAAAATATTTTTAAAATTTTTTTTAGTAAAAATGAAACTGAAAATTTCATTAAAAGGAAATCGTATACAAATATACAATACATATCAATATGTTCTTTTTTATATAATAAATCTAGTTAATTTGACTGAAAGGACCTGAATTATATGAATATGCATTTAATGTGATGCCAATTTGAATTTGTAACTAAAACAATTACCTAATCTATTGTTTGTGTAACAATAAAAGGCCATTTGACACAATCAACATTTTTCGTTCACCGGAATGCTACGTATTTAATATGTGGCTATTTCTTTAAATGAAAATTCTTTTAAAAGTTTATCTCTCCGCCATGTCAGCCCTGGTACAATTCTCCACAAGCATTTATACACATCTTTCCTTTCTTCCCTCTCTTCCTCCGTCGATACCACACCGTCTTCCTCTCTTCCTTCTGAGTGTCGTGTCATTCACACTTAAGATATTGTTTTCCACGGCTTCTCTATCAACCTTTCTTCCATTGAAGCACTTAAGCTTTAAACCTTTCCATTGTCCGCACTGTCACCCCTGAGCATGTCCGACACTTGCAAACCATGCGATTCCCTGAGTTTCTTAGACCATCGATATGTTGGGTTGCTTAAAGAAAATAACTGTGGCTCGGATTTTCTTGTTGGATTTATTAAAACTAGAATCTGGTCGAGTGGCAAAGCTTCAACGATCGAAACTTGGGTCCTGCACCTGTTAGGAGTTTTTGGTTTAGTCAACTCTGTTAAAATAAAGTCCTATTCTTTAGGAAGTCCTATTCTTTTGGGATTGTTAGGATTTTTCTACTGTTAGTTTTCTTTCAATATCTTTTTGCTATCTTTTGTAAAGCTATATATGGCTAGGACTATTTTCAATGATATGACCCTAGAAAATCCAATTATTTGAGTTCTATGTTCTAACAGTCTACTGCTAAACTTAACAATTGGTATCAGAGCCCCCATTGGGTTTCTGACAAACAAGAGAAAGAAGTTGCAATCTTCGATTGATCAAACACCGAGAGTATGAGTGACGACAAAACCTTAACAAAAATTCCTCACTTCGATGGTCACTATGATCACTGTAGTGAATTGATGGAAAATTTGCTTAGAGCAAAAGGCTTATGGAGCTTGGTGGAGAATGGTTTTTCAGAACCACTAGAAGGGACAAGACTGACAGAGGCGCGATAGGTGCAACTTGATGATGATAGAACCAAAGATTATCAGGTAAAGCATTACCTGTTCTAGGCAATTGATCGAACAGTCTTTGAACAAATCTTGGACTGTCGCACAACCAAGATAGTTTGGGACTCAATGAAGCAGAAGTTTGGTGGAAACCAAAAAGTAAAGAAATCACTTCTTAATGCATTAAGAAGAGAGTTTGAGGTCCTGGAGATGAGAAAGGATGAAACCACCACTGAGTATTTTGCAAGAGTAATGCTGGTTGCCAATAAGATGAGAAGCAATGGAGAAGAAATGCCAGACAAGAAAATTGTAGAGAAAATTCTACGCACCCTAACTGAAAAATTTACATATGTTGTAGTGTCCATCGAAGAATCAAAGGATACTAATACTATGTCCATTGATGAGTTACAGAGTTTGTTAGTGGTGCGTGAACAAAAATTTCGACGTCCTAGCAACAATGATGAGGATCAAGTTTTGAAAGTTGAAGGTCGATCAAATACAAGTAACAGAGGGAGATGAGCTTACAGAGGAAGAGGGCGTGGATGAGGGAGAAGAAATTTCAACAAAGCAACTGTTGAATGTTATAGATGTCACGACTTAGGACATTTTCAATATGAATGTCCAAAGTTAAACAACGGAGCAAATTATGCTGAGCTCAATGAAGAAGATGAGCTGCTGTTAATGGCTTATGTTGAACTTCATGAAGCAAAAAGAAGTGACGCATGGTTCTTAGACTCCGATTGCTCAAATCATATGTGTGGTGATGAAAATATGATTTCAAGCTTAGACACAACCTTTACTCATAGTGTCAAGCTTGGAAATAATACCAGAATGAAAGTGTCTGGAAAAGGTATTGTGAGATTGATTTTACAGGGAAACTGCTACATTATTGTAGAAGTATATTGGGCACCTGAACTCAAAAATATTCTCTTGAGCTTTGGACAACTTCAAGAGAAGGGGGTAGCAGTGTTGTTCAAAGATGGAGCATACAGTATTTATCATCCACAAAAGGGAAAAATGGCAGAATCAATTATGAGTGCAAACCGGATGTTTATTTTGCTTGCAGAATCATTAATCACAACAGATGAAGGAGGATGCCTCCAAGTTTCAAATACGGATCAATCAACACTTTGGCACCATCGTTATGGCCATCTCAACTACAAAGGCCTTCGTATCTTGGAACATAAAAACATGGTGGAAGGTCTGCCGCAAATTGTTGATCCAAGCATCACTTGCGAAGCATGTATGAAGGGCAAACAACATCGGACTTCCATTCCAAAAAGAAGTCAGTGGAGAGCATCTGAAAAATTGAGTCTTGTTCATATAGATCTATGTGGTCCTATTACACCGCCTTCAAGCAGCGGAAAAAGGTATTTGCTGTGTTTTATAGATGATTTTTCTAGAAAGGCAAGGATGTATTTTCTCCTAGAAAAATCAAAAACATTTTACCTTTTTAAATGTTTCAAAAATCTGGTGGAAAAAGAATTTGGAATGCCCATAAAATGCCTAAGAACAGATAGAGGAGGAGAATTCAATTCTGCAGAATTTAATGACTTTTACAAGCACCATGGAGTAAAAAGACAACTAACCACAGCCTATACTCCACTACAAAATGGAGTGGCTGAACGCAAAAATCATGGTGATGAACTTGGTAAGAGCTGTGTTGATAGGAAAGAAAGTACCTAAGAAATTCTGGCACAAAGCTGTCATGTGGGCAAATCATGTCTTGAATCGATCACCAACACTTGCAGTAAAAGATATGACACCAGAAGAGGCTTGGAGTGGAGTAAAACCGTCAGTTGACTATTTTCAAGTTTTCGGATGTGTGGGATATGTTCATATTCCAAATGCTAAGAGGAAAAAGCTTGAAGACAAAAGTGTAAGTTGTGTTTTATTTGGAGTTAGTGGTGAATCCAAAGGATACAGATTGTTTGATCCTGTTGAAAAAAAAAATCATAGTAAGTCGTGATGTAATTTTTGACGAGGATCGTAAATGGGATTGGGAAAATTTTGAAGATAAAGCTGATTTAGATTGGGGAAAAAGCATTGAAATTTCAGCTTCAAAAGAAGAATTCACAGAACAACACACAGGTTCAGCCTCACTGATTAATCCAGTTGGTGAAATTGAAGCTGCTACTGAACCTGCTGCTGTTGCCCCACCTGCTGCTGAAATCGAACCAGAGTTGGCTGTAAGGGAGGGTAGAAGTCGACGTCCACCTATATGGTCAACTAATTATGTTTCCGGTGAAGGTTTGTCTGAAGAAGATGATGTTAACATGGAAGATGATATTAGCATGGCATTTTTAACAATCTCAAATCCTATAAACTATGAAGAAGCAATCAAAAGCTCAAAGTGGAGATTGGCTATGGATGAGGAGATTAAATCCATTGAAAAAAAATCAGACTTGGCATTTAGTAGTTCTACCTACTGGTGCAAAGAAAATAGGAGTTAAATGGATTTATAAAACTAAGTTAAATGATTTGGTGAGGTTGATAAATACAAGGCGAGATTGGTGGTGAAAGGCTACATACAAGAGCATGGAATTGATTATACTGAAGTTTTTGCACCTGTGGCCAGAATGGATACTGTAAGAATGATCATAGCATTTGCAGCACAGAAAGGCTGGAAACTTTATCAGTTAGATGTTAAATCAGCCTTTTTACATAGAGAATTGAAAGAAGATGTCTTTGTTGAACAACCGAAAGGCTATGTAAAAAAGGGGAGTGAGCAGATGGTGTACAAGCTTAACAAGGCACTCTACGGGTTAAAACAGGCACCTAGAGCCTGGTTAGTCGAATCGAAGCTTACTTCATCAAAGAAGGTTTTGAAAGCAGTTCTAGTGAGCATACACTCTTTGTTAAAAGGAAGGAAGGTAAAATCCTTATTGTAAGCATTCATGTTGATGATTTGTTGTTTACTAGCAATGATGAAATATTGTTGGGAGAGTTCAAATGTTCTATGAAAAAGGAGTTTGATATGACTGATCTGGGTCAGATGAGGTTTTTTCTCGGAATTGAAGTAATACAACGATCAGATGGCATTTTTATATGTCAGAGGAAGTATGCAGCTGAGGTTGTGAAGCGATTTGAGATAGAAAATTACAACTATGTCTGTAATCCTATCGTTCCTGGACAAAAAATTGGTAAGTATGAAAATGGTGTTAAGGTGGATGCAACTCTTTACAAACAGATAGTGGGAAGCTTGATGTATCTTACTGCCACTTGTCCTGATCTAATGTTTGTTGTAAGTCTAATAAGTCGTTTTATGGCTTGTCCAACGCAACATCATTTTGCAGCAGCAAAAAGAGTCTTGAGGTACTTGAAAGGTACTATGAACTATGGTGTGTTCTATAAAAGAGGAGGAATTAGTGAATTGATTGGTTTTACTGATAGTGACTATGCCAGCGATATAGAAGACAGCAAAAGTACTTCGGGCTATGTGTTTATGATGAGTGAAGGAGCAGTGGCTTGTTCATCTAGAAAGCAACCTATAGTCACCTTATCAACCACAGAAGCGAAGTTCGTTGCTGATAGGTGTTAATTTTATAGTGTTTTAATATAGTTTTTATTAGAATTTTAGCAAGTTTTTATTGCTTTAATTTGATTTTTAAATCACTTTTAGTAGCAACCTATAGTCCACCTTAATCAAACCACAGAAGCGAAGTTCGTTTGCTGATTTAGGTGTTTAATTTTATAGTGTTTTTAATATAGTTTTTTAATTAGAATTTAAGCAGTTTTTATTTGCTTAATTTTGATTTTTTAAATCACTTTTAGTAATAAATTGTGTCAAAAGCTTCCTTTTGACTTTTAATCCGCTTGATCTAAGAGAAAATTACAGGAATTTTGGCGCAGAAAAGAGCTTTATTAACAAGGCACTGACTTCTAGCACCGCCCTAGCCGTGGCTAAGTGGCAACGCCCATAAGTCGCCCGGCTGGCGACATTCACAAGCGCGAGCGCGACAATTAGAAAGAGAGTCAAAAGATTTTGGCAAGAAAAGTCGCGAGGCGACATTCGTATACGCGGCCGCGAGCTGAAGTTTGCGAGCGCGACTTTCATATACGCGGGCGCGAGAAAAGCACCTTTGAGAGGCAGAAAGAAGCACGCCCTGCATGTCTCTGTAGCACAACGTCCCGTGCCTTAGGGATTCAACTAGCCCCAAACAAGGTGGCGACTCACACACTCACGTGCATTTCTTCCTTTAGTCACATGCATTCATATGCCGGTGATATTTTGGGGAGGGGTACACAGTTTCGGACGTTTTAAGTACCATATTGGCATACTTCCGGTAAATTTCCAAAATGGCCTCCGGTCCAGCCGGACTGTTTGCAGTCCGGGAAGCCTGGCTCTTTGAGCCTAAAAAAAAATGGGTATTCACAGGCGACTGCAGCCTTTAAGGGCGACCGCCACCGCCGCGGCCGTCATGATCTCCTATAGAAGATTTTGCACTAAATAAGGATTCTATTTCCTAAACGGAGTCAGATTTGCCTTCAGGAGCTTTATATAAAGAGGGGAACTTCTCATTGTTGGATATCTCATTTTTTGTGCTATTTTCTGCATAATTCTCTCTCTCTCAAAAGATTTCAAGCATCCAAGGTTCGTGCCAAGATTCAAGGAAGCCATCCACATAGCTGTGATCTAGTTTTTAATTCTAAACTCTTCATCTTGTTTTTCTTTTCATTGTTATCATTAAGTATGATGATTGATTCAAGTATGACTAAGTTTTATTTAATTATTATGTCTAGCTAAACTCTTATACTAGGGATTTGATGTAACTTAATTCGATTCCAATTTATAATATTAGATTTGTTTTTCATTGATTTATTCCTTTCTTTGTTCTTGTTATAACTTATTATTGTGCTTAAGGCTTCAGGCAAAAGTTGTCTCCCCTGGATTGTACTATTTTCCAATAATTTACATTCGGGAAGAAAGGGTTAATTGATATGAAAAAAGATAATAATTTACTTGAGAATAATAACTTGATGCGGAAAGCTATATGGTTTGAACTCAAAGGGAGGTTCTAAAGTTAAATAAATTTTTAAGTCGTGAACTCACAAAAACAACCAATAAAACCTAATAATCTGATTTATGTTAATTTCACACTAATTAAATATAGGTAAATTGAAACTGGATTAGAATAACTACAATTAAATCGGGAGAGCTTGTTAGTTTGACTTTAGGGTTGTTCTCCTATTTTGGAAACAATTAAAATTGATTAATGAACAATAGAAATAAGCTGGATAGAATTAAGTGGAAATCAAATTCCCTAGTAGCTTTAATCCTCTGATTCTTTTCACTTGAAATTTTGGTGTTTGATCCTTCTTCTATTTTTTTACTTTAAATTTTATTTAACCTTACAGGCGATATCTCCTTTATCGTCGTCTAAATAATAATAGGTTACATAATTTTGGTAATTGATAAACAATCCCGTCTAAATAATAATAGGTTAACATAATTTTGGTAATTGATAAACAATCCCTGTGGATACGATACTTTCTTACTCTATACTACTTGTTGCGAT